AGGTCAGCGTAAGCTGCATTGCATTGACTTAGTTGCACGTGTATCTGCACTTAAATTTGTCTCCCACCAATGTAAACTGTCCATTATGCCAACACAGTAACACCACCTCCCCAAGCAACGCTGAGCCATGGTCAATGTACTGAGGTCAACACAGTGCCAGTGTAAACACTGCGTTACCCTAACAGTTCTCCAGCAGCTCATAGACTCATAGACTTTAAGGTCAGAAGGGACCATTAGGATCATCTAGTCTGACCTCCTGCACAATGCAGGCCACAGAATCTCACCCACCCACTCCTGTAACAAACCCCTAACCTACTATGCCTGAGTTATTGAAGTCCTCAAATCGTGGTTTAAAGACCTCAAGGTGCAGAGAATCCTCCAGCAAGTGACCCGTGCCCCACGCTGCAGAGGAAGGTGAAAAACCTCCAGGGCCTCTGCCAATCTGCCCTGGAAGAAAATTCCTTCCCGACCCCAAATATGGCGATCAGTTAAACCCTGAGCATGTGGGCAAGACTCACCAGCCAGCACCCAGGAAAGAATTCTCGGTAGTAACTCAGATCCTACCCCATCTAACATCCCATCAAAGGCCATTGGGCATATTTACCTGCTAATAAATCAAAGATCAATTAATTGCCATCCCCTCCATAAACTTATCAAGCTTGGTCTTGAAGCCTGATATGTCTTTTGCTATCCCAGAATGGCTCAGGGCAACAATTTCCCATCTATAAACAATGAGAAACTGCTGCAGATAAAATGGGTGGGAAAACACCCCAAAGCTGAGGAGATTTTAAATTGACACTGGACAACTAGAGAGAAAATGGGGGAAAATCTGAGGAGAAAAGAGAATTAGTCAATAATTTGAGAGAAAATAGGGAATTCACATGGATTTCCTATTCACATTTGATAGTTAGAGAAAAGGGGCACAACTGAGGACATTTTTGCAAATTTTAGAGGTGGGAGGGGAAAGCAGAGACTTCACCCCGCCCCCTCAATCCCTGTCCTGTTGAGAGATGGTGAAATCTGCCATGTCACACTGTCTCTCCCCTCCCTCCATCTCTGTCTTTCCCACTGTCCTTTCCTGACATCTCCACCCTCCAGACACACAAAGGGCAAATCCCATCAGGGCCCAGTCTCTTCCCCTCCTGAATCCCCCAGTTTGCTCCCTGGGCAGATCCTGGCAGGAGCTGAGGGCAGCTGCTTCACTGCTGTACAGGCAGCTCCCAGCCCTCCCTCAGGGACATTCACAACCAGGGAGCACATTCCCAGGGGCTGTGAAATCTGAGGCTCCTGGGACATTTGTGCAGAGTCACTTCCCTG